ATTGAGTCTGGAAAACACATTTCTGTTTTGCTTTATTTTGATCAGATTTGAACAGCAAGTACTATGAGGGAAGGCGTGCGTGGGTCTGAACAGCTTGTGTAGACAATTTATTCCATCCAATGGCTGCTCTTCCCCGCCGTCCCCCTGACCCTGGCTCTGTGGCTCAGTGTACAAATCAAGGGAATGTTCATGTTGTCATCCCCAGATGCCGATGAAGGACACCTCTCGGTCAAGGCAGGGAGCTAATTTGTACAACTCACTCCTTTGCAGCTTGAGGACCAGGGTGCATACATGCTGTTCTCTTAACCATTTTAGATGTAATTCAAAGAGCAACACCCATTAGGAGGACACTCCTTGTGATGGAGCATCTCTTGATTTTTTTTCTCAGTATGGTGGAGTGAAGGTTCCTTATTCCTGCCAGTTGTTGAGATGAGTGTCAGGGAAGGGGGAACTTACACTCTCTGTTGAGTTTATAATCAACAAATTCTTATCCTGAGGACTAGAGTAGAGTTGAAGTGTCTATCTCCTGAGCTTCTCTTTCAAGGACTCAGCTATAAAAGCAACTTCTTCAAAGCCCTTATCATGTTCCGACTCCCCTCGCAGCTGCTCGCAGCCTCAGTGTGGAGCCACTACTCTCTCGGCTGCGTTTGTTGATTTATGCCTCTGAACTGGCGGAGGTGTCACTCAATGATTAGTCTTACGGTAATTATGGATGGCTTATTTGCAGAATACTTATTCCTCTCCTCAGCTCACTGGGATTCATGCTGGTTTTGTTTAGTCAACAAGCTGACAGGTTACCCTTGGTATTTTTTTCTTTCAATTGTCCCTGCCCTTATCTCTCTGTCACAGATCACCTTAAGGACACGGAGTGGGAGTTCTGTATTTCTCTTGACTGAGATCGGCTTTTCCTTGGCACGGACCAGAGTCCAGATAAGGGTCCTGCCTCAAAGCTGGTCTGAGTTCTGTAGGTGCCAGAGGGAGGGCTGGCGATATCACTTAAAGCCCTTCCACAGACTTGTTCTTCAGTCCCTCATCTGCAAAGTTCGCTCTCCCAGGCTGGGTTAAGTCTGAACAGCTTGCTAATAGGTTATGTCTCCTAAGGATTCTGATAACCTCCTTTAACAATCTTTTAAGGATGGATTTTATGTCAACCTTAGGATCTTAAAGAGGCAAACAAATGAAACAAACATAGGACCAAACTCATAGTTGACAGAAAAACCAGTTTTCCTGAGATTAGGGTGCATCTAGACAAAGTGGATTATATTCTTGGTTATATTTACTGGTACACTCGAGCACTTTTTGTTGTTCTTGTTGCTATTATTTTATTTTGTCCCCCCTTCCCCTTGCCAATTTAATTAAAATACACTCTAGTTTATCTTGGACAAAAACTTCTGTTTCATGGTATAGTCTGCTTAACTGATGCTGGAGGAATGATGATGTTCTTTGGCTGTGGGCACTACGCTTACGTTGGGGTCATTTGTATAGCCATGGATGTGGCCACTTCTTTGGTTTGCTCCTGGTGCAGGAAAGAATTTAAATAGCAGGCTGTGACGGCTATCCTCACAAATGTCTGCTTGCAAAGCTGGTCCTTGCTGGCATCTGGCGGACTGGGACTGGTCAATTGTCCTCTAATAGAAACCTTTCCCTAAAGGGTAAGGGTGTGTTACTGTACCCCAGGTATTTGCACAAACAATGTGGTTTATGCTGAACACCTGCTTTCCTTAGGGGAGACTGGAATTGTTTTATTATTATTGATTTTGAGAGAGAGAGAGAGAGAAAGGGAGGGAGGGA